GTACATAAAATGCATGTCAGCTAATTCAATATTAGTGTAAACAGGCATAACGAAAATTTATAAAATTATTCATCCAAAACAAAATAATAACTGCAAATAGTATCTATGAAAAAACATCGGTAGACTCTGATAAGAAAAGCAAGTTTTTGAGAATGAAAAAAGATAATCAAAAAATGATACAAAACACAAAACACTCCGTATCTCTGAAACCATTCATTTGCGGACATATGTTTATTAAGACTTTTCTGCATATTTTGACCCATACTACACCCCGTTTTATTTTGTGACACTTTTTTTTTAACACCCTGTATAATATTATTATTATTAATTATAACAGAATAATAACCCCAAAACAATACTATTTTCAGTTCCGTCTTTACCCTAAAGATACGTAGGGCACGAGCCTAGGGCTCCCAGTTTGATGAGGCCTCATTTTTTGTTTAATTAAAAAAAAAAACGATTTCTTAGTTCAACGCATCTGTCGAGGTAAGAGGGGCCATCAAAAGTTCCATGATAACCCACCCTCCAACGTTATAGATACATATACAACTTATTAATAAAAAATCTGATGTGTCCAACACATGACTTTCCTATCTAGTTATTATAGGCTTTTCCGGTTATTTTGTACAATAGTCTAATCAACAAGTTCAAACGCGTGTTTTTGGGACATACTATTACGAAAATTATGTTCAATAGCTCATTCGATTCGGAATAATGTATAGATCAATGTGTGAAGAAAAATTTTGCAGTGCATAAAAAATTGCAAAAGTTATAAACAATTAAACACCTCAAAAACATGGTGTTTGGTTTTTCGCCTATAGTTTGTAAACTATAAATATTTTTGGATTTTTCAAAAAAGATCCTTAAGGAGGAGGAAATTTGCTATAAATAAGTTCCGACTCCCGGAACTGTACCTCCATTATTTATAATTTTAATTTAACGCTCAAAGTAGCCTTCCGCGCGCCATTTTTAGGTTGCGCGCACGGCGTCGAAACCGAGTACGTTCCATAAAATAATTTTTTTAAGTTAATAAAATTAAATTCAAAAATTTAAAAAATTACGGTGTATTCTAAACACTTAGAAGAATTCATTCCCGTTGGAATTTTTCATAAAAATTAATTTTCCAACAAAGTAGGTTATTGTTAATTAACAAAATTTTTAGAATTTCTCTCATTACAAATTGATAAAAATATTAAATAATTACCGTAATTTTTTTTCCTTTGTGGAGCTCTTTTTGTATACATATAAAACAAAATAGCTTCATAAAAGTTTAAAAAATGTTAATACTTTGTTTATAATAATTTTTTAAAGTTTACAAAAACAGAAAAGTCACAGTGGTGCTATAAAAAATTTTTTTTTTTAATTTATTATAATATTACTGTTTTAATGTCGAGAAAAGACATTTATTAATTAAAAAAAAATGTTTTTTTTCCATTTGTTTATAAATTTTTTATAAACATTATAAACAATTTGTTTCAAATTTTTTTTTACAACTTTCTAGACAATTGCCAATTATGATTTTTAAAAAAAATTATTTCTTAATAATAACTTTTAATTGTTTATAATCGTTTTTTAAATATATCTATTGTTTAAATTATTAGTTATGAAATGTGTTTTTTTTTTAAATCATAATTGACAGTCCTCTACAAAGTGACAGCAAAAAATTTTTTTTATTAATAATTTCATTGTTTATTAAGTTAACAATTTGTTATAAACAAATTCCCAACTTTGGTTTAATTATTTCCTGAAAGAAATAAAAATTCTAAAAACGACTTAGTGCATTAAAATTACGAAAAAATTTATTCCATTTTTATTAAACTTTGAAAATATACGTACTATCAAAGTTGCAGCAGCTGATCCATTTGTTGACTTAAAAGTTGATATAACTTTTAAACTATTGGAGATACGACAATAAACATTCAAGTCATTTTTGTAGGCAATGAAATTATCTCTCAGATAAGTCATTTGTCAATTCCGTACCTATTGTCAATTTGTTGTTTTTTATATTTGCTTATAAAAATTGATTTTTTTAAGTTTTTCGAACTTTTGCGGCTTGTAGCTCTGTAAATAATGCAAATTCGGTCATTGAACTTTTAGGCAATTCTGTTAAGCTATTAATTATTTAACATTTGCAATTGTTTATTTAATTTTCAGTCAATTTTTTTATAAACTATTATAATTTTTTTACTAAATCTTTGGAGAGTTTATGCATTCATATTATTTTCAATTTTTTACATAATATTGCACAGTGTTTTTGTTAAAAATCTTTAAAATTTAGTCAGACTTTTTTTACTGATTCGTTTTTGTCTTTCGCTTCGAGTTTTGTACGTTTCAATGTGCAGCTGCGTGTTTACAGGTTAAATCTTTCGGCGGGCGTAATTTCGGCCGGTAATCCCCTCGCTTACCTGCCAAAAGCAAAGTGCCCATCTAATGGCATTGGTAATTTCGGCCGAGGGTAATGTTTATGATAGGATTTTGGAATATACCTGAAAATAATAATCTACCCTTTTCATATTTCCATTTCTTAGAACAGTTAAAACATTTACATTCATCTTTCTTAATTTGATTTTCATTAGTTTAACAATGTGATTACCTAATTACAAAGTACCGGATCTTTTAATATTAAGATACTAACCACTTATTTTGTGGGCGACTAAGAGATAGAAAACATCTATATTACATTATGGTAGTTTCGATAGTAAAGAGTTGACGCGGTTGTGACTTGCTTATTGTAGAAACATTTTCATTTTGTAAACAAGACGTATTAAAGAGTGTGGAAGTGCGTTGGAGGTGCATCAGGAAAAATTTAAAATGTTTAGCTAAATTGTATACTGTTGGTGCCGAATATATTTATAGTTTACAAACTATAGGCGAAAAACCAAACACCATGTTTTTGAGGTGTTTAATTGTTTATAACTTTTGCAATTTTTTTATGCACTGCAAAATTTTTCTTCACACATTGATCTAGACATTATTCCGAATCGAATGAGCTATTGAACATAATTTTCATAATAGTATGTCCCAAAAACACGCCTTTTAAACTTGTTGATTAGACTACAACCTATTGCAGTATCTCTATAAATGTTTAGAGGATAAACTTAATATATACATTTTCCACATACATCTACCTCGAAACATTTTTCTATAGATATTCATTGAAAAGGAAATTACTGAAAAATTTAAATTTAGCACTTTTCCTACAATTTTTCCATTACGGTCCATTTTAGAAAAATCATGTATGAACAAAAATTATAGAAATCGATATCGCAAACAACTTTTAGTTTAACAATTTTCATAAAAATCAGAATTTTGCACATTTTGTCAAATTTCTCGAATACGGACCATTTCAGGAAATTTTGACATAAAGCAAAAATTTTAGATAATAATATTAGAAGTAACTTTTATTTGAAGAATTTTCTCCTCCAAACGTAAATAACAAATATATTCCATAAAATATAAAAATGACCACCTATAAAGCAGAGCTGGGACGAATCCTCAAAAAAAAATGATTCGAATCACGAATCAGAATCACGAGATGTGATTCGAATCACGGATCATATGTCTGCATCCTTTTTGCAATAAAAAAGGATTCGAATCAAGTGATTCGAATCCATTTCTTCGGATCACGGATACGAATCACTGTCAGCATCATACCATGGTATTATGCATGCTTCCGAATCTAATATCAATATCAACTATGTGTCTATTACCGACTATGACTTGCATACAAATGGTTGATACAAGAAGATGTTGAAAAGAATAAACTTATTTTTTTTTCTATAAATATGAACCATAAATAAATTAGAATCTACAAAAAATATATTTTATTTTAATACAAAAAACAAAATAAACAATGAAAGAAAAATGTCTTTTGGTTGGGGTTACATAGCATCAAAATTTCGAGAAGCGTCGATTATACCTACGAACAAATATAATAGACTGCACCAGACGAAGGAAGGCAAGTGTTAAATTTTAGGATTTTTTTATGTTGAGCATTTATTGCTAATTTGTGATTTCAAAGAAGGCAGCAGAGCACCTAGGCAATTTTGAGTTGAAACCTATGCCATATTTTTAGGCTATTTTTATGCTACTGTTTTTTTGCAAAAATCAAGGTGCTCTGCTAGCTTCGAACGAAGCCAACAAAGCACCTCTGTTTCAACAAAGCACTCTATTTTTTAAAAAACACTATTATTTTCAAAAAGTTCTATAATATTTTAAGAGCCCAAAAATAGCTTAAACATGTGACATAAGTAGATGTTTCTAGAAAAAAAAAAAAATAAATAAACTGAGGTGCTCTGCTAACTTTGTTCCAGCAAAGCACCCTGTATTATTTATTTAAAAATAGCAATTTTTAAAATATTTCAAGAGCCTAAAAATAGTCTAAAAATTCAGTGTGGTTGTTTTTAGAAAAAACTTTATCACATTTTTGAATGGGGTATAAAAATAGCCTAAAAATATGGCATAGGTTTCAACTCAAAATTGTCTAGGTGCTCTTCTGCCTTCTTTGAATTAATTTGTAGATTCTTACGTTTATCTACTAAATCTTAACAATCTTTTTTCAGTCTCGGTCTGTTTCAGTTTACACTTTGCTATAGTCAAAGCGTGTGTCAACCGTTCGCGCCGGCGTAGTTTGGTCTCTAAAAGGATCCGAGACTAATATTGGTGATTCGAATACGAATCCTGAAGAATTTCTTCGGCGAATCCGGATCACGGATCCTTTTTTTCTAAAGTATTCGAATACCGCTTGCGGATCCTCAAAAAGGATTCGAATCTTATGTGGTTCGAATCCTTCCCAGCTCTGCTATAAAGTATACAGATAGGAAAGTAAAAAACAGCAATCCCGATTGGTCGAAAGCCGCAACATGTGACATAAACATTATTTTCTTATCTTAACCACATAGACAATCTGTAAAACATAACAACTGGGTCCTTTCCATTATCACCTAATCTTCTAAATTTTGATTAATTATCACATTTTAAAATAAACAATATTGCATTAGTGACAGAAGGAAGGAGTAAACGAAGAAAAAGAGGAGAAGAAATAAAAGGGGAAATAACAGGAATAGGCGGAGACGGTGGTGACGCACATGTAGGAAGAGAAGGAGAAGGTCGAGGAGAAGGTCGAGGAGAAGGTGCCGCGGTGGGAGGAAGAGGCGGCGATGGAGTTGTATTAGGAGAAGCGACAGGAATTATAACGGGAAAACTTACTGGAAAAGGAGGAAGAGGAGGTGTAGGTAGAGCCGGCAGACCGAGCGGAAGAGGCGAAGGCGTCGGAGGAAGAGGAGGAGATGGATTGGTAATAGGAATAATAGGAGCGAGGAGGAGAAGGGATGTAGGAGTACAAATTCAACCAGTTGAAGAAGGTTTGTTGTTAATTTTGCAGTAGTATTTTAGTTATCGGGTCAATAGTAGGGTTGTCAGACGTCTTGCTTCATCCCGCTTTTTCACTTGCTGGTACGCCTCCCACCGAAGTACGAAAATGATCCGCCTTATACCAAAATGCCACGCTTTTTATTCTTTGAGAAGCTCAGAAAAATATAAGCGAAAGATCTTTTTTTAGATCTCTACAAAAAGGACCTAATATTATAAAAATATCTGTATTTTTAACCTGATCCCAGTCATCACCGTTGTCCCGCTATTCCCTTTCCTAAATCTGGCAACCCTAGTCAATAGATTGGTTAAATGAAAGTCCTGAGGATGTTTTGAATTGAATATTAGGAACAATTACTGAAATTTTTGACAAACACAAATTAGTCCTATTTATTTATTTCACTACAGCACAGTGGGTCAGGAAATAAATATCAAATATATAAATCTTGTTATATTTATTCTACAAACACCATTGAGGTGTATACGAATCCAATTACAATTAAGCATTCCAACGACCTGTCCAAATGGCTACCAGTGGGGACTGACAGTTTAGATATGGCAACCTTGTTGTCATATTGTCATTAACAGGGTCAATTTTACCTATATAGTTATATAGATTGCTCAAAGCTGATCGTTTGCGAGTGACCATATTGCCTGGCAAATATTTATTAATTTGAATCAGTTTAGCAAAAATGTGTTTTAAAACCAATTTTCGGCCTTTAGATATTTAAAAAAAATAATTGCTTACATTTTTACTTCAAGGCATAAGATTATGTTTATTTTGAAAAATATGGATGATCAATTATGTAACTATCTATTTCATTGACCTTGTCAAATCACCAGGCCTACAAGGTTGCCATAATTTTGCCATATCATAACCTGTCAAAACCCACTGGTAGCCATTCAGTTTCGAATGCCTAATAAGAACACAGAAACGTCATAACTTGTAAAAATAATTCATTGGCGATCGCCGCCTACTGGGGGTTTAATGACGTGTTAATATTATAGGCACATACTTTGATTTTCTCTTACTATACGGAGAATGGTCGCACTGAGCAGCTTTCTGAGTGCCTTTTAAAAGGAGATAGAAAACTCCGCCATTTTGATGCCTTATTACGTGTTGCCTACATCTTGGCGCAATATTTTTAGTAGGTGCGTTTTAATCATTCGCTTCTGCTTCGGAATTGTTGGTTTTCTTGTTTTAATCTGACAGGTTAAAACGACTAAACCGACAATTCCGGAAGCAGAAGCGGATGATTAAAACGCATCTGATATTTTGCTTGCTGCTGTCAGTGTCAGTGAATATTATTTTTGGAGTCACAGTTTATTGCTAAAGAATCAGTTATCTCACTTGGACCAGTTGAAAGTTCCAAAATAACATCCACTCCAGGGATACAAATTTAGGATGCGCAGAAGACTGCTGTTTTATTGTAGGCGGTTGTCATATATTGTATTATTCGAGTTGCACCGTGTATAAACTGGAACATGGAGATCAAAAGTGACAACGCAGAGTGAGCAAACTGATTCTTTAGCTATAAACTGTGGTAAAGGCATCAAAATGGCCGCGCCCTATGTTGGGCGTGTCGGACCTCTCTCTTGCACCGTATAGTAATCAAAGTATGTGATTATAGGAATATAGCAAATATTTTTTTAACCCCAACGACTTACTTATTCTTTATTTTATTGATAGTTATAGATAATATGTATTCGAAATAATTGATATGACGTAGCGGTGTTCTTCTTAATGTAATCGGATTTACTTTCATGAAATGTTTACCTCATTATGCTTTTATTTTTGATTTGAAATTGATATAGAATTATAAAATCGATCCCAGGTTCTATATATCTGTTTGTTATATTACTGAAATAAATCATTAGTTTACGTAATTTGAAAATATTCTTGTTGTATGATATTTATCAAATGTGTGTGAATGAAATCCTAGCATGACAGGTGAATAAATCAAAAATATTTTTTAGCAACAAACATCTCAGTAACTGCATAAAATAATATTTTTCAACTTATTATCCTTTTTTGAGATTTCATATTCAATTCATAAAATTGAGGTTTGTATTCCGTATTCTATATATTTCAAGAAAATCCTGACCACTATTTCACCTTTTCCTTTAGTGACTTAATGGAAACAGCACTAAATCGACGAACGAAAATTCAGAAGTGTAAATATGTTGTTAAAAATGTATACAATTCAAAATTCTCCACCTATTTGGAAGTTTGTATTTGGAAGTTAATTTAAAGAAATTTATAGTGACTTTTTAAATTTTTATTGATTATTTTTGAAATTTAATACCAATAATTGAAAAATGGAGAGTTAATTTTTTTTAAACATGCCAAAATTTTTTTTCTATGCTCGCCATTATTGGAAATTAATGAAACCACTTATGGAAACAAAGAAATTTTCGACTAATAAAAGTCGAGAATAAAAGGCACAAAAAAGACGAGGAAAAAGAGAATAAGGAAAGGTGCAGAAAATAAGAGGTAGAAATTATGAATGGTTTCCGACAAATCAAGAAACTCTTAAGAAAGAGGTAGATCAGCTAAACAGTCTAGTAGATCTCTTAGCAGAGCACAACAGCAAAATATTTTAAAAACTAATTTGGAGCCACAGGAGAATATAAAAGCTAATTTAGAGCCACAACAAGAGAATTTAGTAGCTAATTTAGGACAACAACAAGAAAAGGCTCTCAGAATGATCCTCAGAACTAAAATATTTTAGTTAGAATAAAGAATTCGTAGCCAAGCCTCGGTAAGCAACATCGACGCTGATAACATTACCTCGTCTTCATCTATAATCGAACCAAGCCACATTCGAATAAAAGTTTTACAGAACCATACTACCCCACGTTTGACTGTCAGATGACATGGGAAACCTATCGATTCCAATTTGAAGCTGTAGCTAGAGCCAATGGCTCGGTCAAAAAAGAAATGGCGGCTTCATTGATAGTGTAACGAGGACAGGCAGAATCCGTTTTACAGTTACTTTCCCAAGAGAGACCCAGTTATCCATCTCGCGTCCAAGCTTTGAAGATAAGGTATGGCCAGAAGCACTTGAAACAAGTATTATTCGAAAGTCAGTTAAAGGTTCGTAGTCAGAAACACAATGAGAGTCTACAGGAATTCGAGGCTGATATAAAAAGATTGCTGCACCTGGCCTATCCACAGGTGCCCAAAGATTTCCTAGAATAAGTCGGCATACAGGCATTCATTGATGGACTACAGGATGTAAAAATGCTGCATTCTCTTTGGCTACAACACCACAAGACGCTGAGTGATGTACTGATTACAGCCCAGGAATATGAAGTAGCAAAAATTATATCTAGATCTCTTGCAAAATTGAGAGAAATTATATTTTAGGAATGTGAAGAGGCCAACACTAACACTAACCCCTAATCTACTCTCTCACAAATCTTAAAAATCCTGAAAAGAATGCAACGAAACAGCTAAAATGAGAATAGAAGATGCTTTAATTACGGAAGAATCGGACACCTTTAAAAAACCTGTAGAAGCAGGACTCGTTCTATAAAACCAGAATCGGTGAATAAGGCAAGACTTTTCTGGTATCCGATATTAAGGATCAGTGTGTTCTTGGTATGGACATTATGCAAAATAATTTTATCATCAACTTTCAAAACAGATCTTGATAATTGGAGACGAGGAAATTGTCCTAAATTTGGAGGAAAATACTCAACCGATAAAGGTCCTAGTAGAATATATCGAAGTACCCCAAAAATCTTAAGCTGTCATCTCGGCGAGACGAAAAATCACACGGCTTACATGTGGGCATTGTGGAAAGTGAAGAATCTGTGAGTGAAGAAATTCTGGTAGCTAGATGTCTCGTTAACGTAGATCAGCTGGTTCTAGTAAGGGTTGCCAATTTATCAAAAATACCATTCAAAAAATAGAGCTCTGAACAGTAGAAAACCTAATTAAGTGCGAAGGCTGTTCTGCGGGGAAAGCTCAGTTGACGCCAGCTTTGTGAAACAACTAGTATACATAATTATGATCATCTACCAGCTGAGGAACTTAGAAAAGTCAAAGAATTTAACAATACCTTAGCATATACTACTTTATATTCAAAGAGCATTACCAACTGTGACATTTTCGAGACAGGAATATATACGGGGCGGGGCGTACCAGTCTGGTCCAGCATAGAATTTATAGAAGACTATCATTTGCTAAACAGAAAGAAGTAGCAATTATGATACAGAACATGATGGATGAAAATATTATTGAAGAAGCTTCTGGTCCCTGGTGCTCACCTGTTGTCCTAGTAACTAACAAAGACGTATCTACTCGTTTCTATAAGTTTTGTTCCAACAACGATCATAAACCTGTCACTGACCCCAGATGAGTTGGCGGTACCAGTGATCTACTGAGTAGAATTCTGGTGTCAGTGACTGGTTTCTGATCGTTGTTGGAACAGATCTTGTGTTGTAAACTATAGAAGATTAAATCAGAACGTAAAAAGACAGCTATCTCCTTCCCCGAATAGACGACACACTAATTACCCTATCAGGAGCAAAATGGTTTTTCACGCTAGATTTGAAGAACGGATATACTGGCAAGTGGAAGTACACCCTGACGATCAAGACAAAAGAGCTTTTTCAACTGGCAGCGGATTATAAGCGGATTATACCGGTTCCATGTTCTCCTTTTGGGACTCTATAATGCCCCAGCTGTCTTTGAAAGACTAATGGAAATGGTTTTGAAAGGATTAACCTGGAAAATTTGTCTAGTATATCTCGATTACATAATGATCATGTCAAAAAATTTTGGATGAACATCTTATAGTGGATTTTATTTATTGCACTAGGTGTAAGTTTTCTGCACTAATCGCATTTGATTTGTTCAGTGTAGCTTCAAATATTTGACACATGCTTGAGTGTAGCATTCACGTTTGACCAAGTTTGACAAGAATCCATTATAACAAATCTGAGTGAAGTATTTGATAGATTAAGAAATGCCAATCTAAGGCTTAATCACAATAAATGTTCAATATTCCAATGGAAAGCCTATTAGTTGGGACACGTAATTTCCGCAGAAGAAACCAAAATCCACCTGGAGAAAACAGTCCATATGACATATTCATAGTGTCGTACAAAAAACAAAAAATTAAAAAAAATTGTGAAAACATTTTATTGGCGTATTTTTCTGATTTATCAAAAGAGTACTATTCTTTTTCAACGTGGTTGTATTATTCTAAGGTAAAAGCAACCCTTTCAGCAAAAAAATGACGTTGACAAAAACTTACGTCTTTCACAAGAAGACGCTTATAGTGAATATTATTTGTTCTACTAGTGTCACCCGACACTGTATTCGAACTGTCATAATTCATATATTTGAAGCTATACTGAACAAATCAAATGCGTTTAGTGCAAAAACTTACACCTAGTGCAACAAATAAAATCCACTATTAATTTTTTACTAAATGTACCGGATGAAATTTAAGCAAACCTTTCAAAACCAATTTGATAATTATTTTTTATTTGTGTGCTGAGCTTAACGTAAAAAATAATTTTTTAATTTAAAAGTAAGGGGACAGAACGCACATGAAAAAATCTGGTTGTTCATATAACTAAAACAAACACCAACAGGCCTCGATTTTTTATTCACTTCATAGAAATAAAATTCATAGATTTATTTAACAAATATTTAGCTGGAGGTCTGCTTAGGACATACTTTTCCTAAATTATAGAAATGGCAAATGCAGTCCAGTTGGAATTCATATTTTTTAAAGTGCACGAAAAAAAAATGTCTATCACTTTATACGAGACATTGTCTGTGCTCAATAAAATGAAGATGACAGAAACGATTTTAGATAAAGCTGAAACTGACAACAACGTGGTTGTTAATGATAATTCTACTAAATATTTACAAATTATTAACATTATTAATATTTTCAAAACACCTTCGATTTCAGGAATTCATTTTTGTTATGATTATTTTCACGTTTAATATAACATAATGAGTAGATTTATTTGTTATGTAGTGGTTGGTTTTATTTCTAATAGTAAATTTTTACATACATAATTTTAATACATGTACGAGAATAATATGACTCACGGATATAATACTAAAATATTAAGACCTAATTCTGTAAAGAAATACATTTATCTAATTCATCAATTCATTATCTTTCTCTACTTTGCTGAGATGAACCGATATAAACGAAATGGACTATCGCATCGTAGCAATTAATTCAGAAAGGCTAAAGAAGAAAGAGTCAGTGTAGTCTAAATGTATGTTTATTATTTAATTTAATGTTGGTCGGGTTATTTTTAATATTTATCAAATATTACGATATTAAATATCTAATAGAAAAAAATCCTTAATTAACAAAAATTTCAATTTCGATGATTAATTAATAAATGTAATGAATAATTCTTCAAATCGAAAAGAAAAAAAAACAGTTTGGGCGACTCGATGATGAACAATATACAATATATATGTTGTATTTGAAATTAAAATTATCATTTATAATTAATTAAAAAAGCCTGAATAAAATATTCCGGCTTTGCTTCAAAGAATATTTCATATTTTTGTAGATAAAGAAGAAACGCATCAAGTAAAAAGGCAATTATATTTTGGAAAGGAGGAATATAACCCTGGTGGGGGCAGAGGAGGAGACGGAATTGTAATTGGATCGGGTGGAAGAAGGACAGTCATAGGTCCGGGAGAAGAAGGAAGTTCACATTACGACGAAAGTGGAGACGCTCGTGGAGGACAAGGAGGAACTGGAGTTACAAGAGGAGGAGGTGGAAAGGGAGGGTCAGATAGCCAAGGAGGTAGTGGATGGACTGGAAATACAGGACAAGGAGGAGGTAAATGGTTTATAAATATTTATTTTTGGGTAAATTTTCTACACTAGTAGGTACACATTTTGCTCCATATATTACACATATTATGCAAATAGTACAGAAATAGGTCTTAATATTAAAATTAAGTAGATGATCCAAAAAAAAGTCGTTGCTTCATTTTTTCCGGATCTCCATTACTTCAGTGGAAACCCTGTACCATTATTCACCATTATTACCAATTTAAATACAAATAGTACACAGTAGTACACAAATATAGTATACAATAATACAGGAATAGTACGCAAGAGTACACACATAATAAAATACACAAATACTACATGAAATATACAAATAGTACATAAAATGAAATGTACAAATAGTTCACAAAATACCTAAATAGTACAGATTGTTGGTTTATCCTAGTACACCAGTGGTTTACCACTCGAACCTAAATTTAATGAGTATCTGTTGTCAAATGACAAAATGTTTAGTTCGTCTCGGAGTTGACTAGGCTCAAGTTATAATAAATTTATAACCAATTCTGATATGATACTTTTTGTAACAAAAATATCTAAGAAGTTTATTTTGAATCTTTTTAGATTCACTCAAATAAGTTTGATACTGACTTGACCAAATCAGAGAGCCAAATTCCAATTTAGCTCTGCCTAAACCAGCCATAGTCAAGCTTTTTTATGCAGGCCCAACACTATTATTAGGAATTTAAATGGTTGACCTACAGTTCATTTTTGAAACAAATTGTCCTTGCGACTAAAACTACATAGGACTTTTTTTTTAGAAAATATATAAACTATATGTAAACTAAAACAATATGAGGATTTTTTTTAGAAAATGTTTAAAGAGAATTCCTATCGTCACCCATTGTCCTTTATGGCCCGTGTATCATAACAAATAGATTTATGTTGAGTACAGCTGGCCTAAACTAAAGTAAAGACTCTTTATTGTATTGATATTGGAAAAAGTTTGTCTTATTATAAATAAGCAATTTGAAGCTCTAACTACATTTTTTGGGAATTTCTCTCGCTTTCGTCGCGAATTAAAAGGATTTGGAGAGGCACTTGATTTCAGCCAGTTAAAAGTAGAAGCCGCATTTAAATTAGGTCCGCCGTTGAATGATTTTTAGTATCAACTTTATTAATCCGATAGGTAAAAAACCTTGTTTCAGTTTTTTATAGAAGAAACGTTTTATATTTAGACCGCATTTAGTTTAATTTAAAAACCGATTTATCTTTTGGAAATAGGAACATTTTAATTCATTGTTGAGTTAAAAGATATAGTAGGATTTCTTTAATAAATATTAGAATTTAGTTCTTTGCAAATAGAATACCGTTTTTAAAGATATTGTGAAAAAGATTTAAGAAATGTAACTTTTCTTTTTGTTAGTCTCAGACCGGTAATTAAATTTGATTTAATTAATAAATATTAGAAGTTAGTTAGTTTTTTAAAAATAAAATATCGTTTCTTTAAAGGGAATTGAATTTGATTTAAATAATAAATGATAGGATTTAGTTCTTTAAAATTGTAATACCGTTGATTTAGACATTTGGCTACCCTGGAACTAGAGTGGTCTATGTTACATTTTTGTCAAAATATAATTAACATCAGGTTTGAATATTAGAAGCAATAATCTATCAGTTGTAAAGTGGTCTATGTTACAAATTCATATTAAACAGGTATAAACACTATATCTCACTTTAGCTTCGTCAGAAAAGTTGATATTCAAGTCATTCAAGAGTGGTCTATGTAAGGATCTGTAACATAGACCACTTTAGTTTAAAAATTAGAAGAATTCTATAGTGGTCTAAGCAACAACCTGCTCTACATGACAAACGTTACTGTATTGGCAACATTGTATCTGCTGAGTTGTAAGCAACCTGTGAGAACGAGCGGTACTTTAGCGGTTTGTTGTTTTTCTTGGTGTTGCTGTTAGTTTGTTGTATGCAGATTGTATATTGAATAATGGCTGATAATAATGTTGGAACATCTCGTACGCGCAGAATTATTTCTGCTGCATTGCACGCGTACGAAGAAAGTGATTCTGAGCCATTCCCTGGATCTAGCGACGATGACTATGAGCCAACAGACAATTCCGATATGGCCGGCGATCCAGTTGTGGGTGAGTAGAGTAAATACGAGGTTGTCAAATTCAAAAAAAAAATGCACTTTTAAATATTTTTAAAAATTATTCTGTAATGTCTGTAAATTGTATTTTTAGTCAATGTTTAAGAACTTTCTAATAGTTTTTAATATTAATACGGAAAATTTTTCATTTTGTGCGCTAGATGAAAAGTGAAAAGCTACTAGGTATTCTTAGTCTAGAATATGGTAAATAATCATGTAGAGAAACGCCTAATTGCATTTTATTTGGTTGCAGAGTCCGATAAGGATACACCTGCATTAAATGTTATAAATATGGAAAACCTTGGAGAAGATGAAGTAGTGGAAGAAGTTACGAAACGCGGAAGAAAGAAGTTAAGGAATGAAAGGTGTTGGGCAAAAAATATTAGAAAAGCAAAAAGAGAGGCCGGTGAAGAATACATAAATATTAGAGGTAACGTTGTGGCATCTAAAACGTTTATCGCCAGCGAGTGTACCTGCCGACTAAACAGTAAAGAAAAAGTACTTGATGATATACAGAAAAAAAATACATGAACGGTTTTATGGCTTAAAATCCTGGGATGCTCAAACAGCTTGGTTGTGTAGTACTGTAAAAACCGTGGCACCAACAAGGCCACGCAAACGACCCAGGAATCAACCAGCTAGTCGCAAACTACGTACAAGACAGTTTGTGTTACATAATCGGAAGGTTTGCTAGAGTTTTTTTCTGCGAGTATTGCAAATAAGCAACCACCGCTTGGACTACGCACTAAGAATTAAAAATCGCGATGGTAGCACGCTTCCATCACCAGATCAGAGGGGAAAGAAAGTCCCAGGGAATAAGATTTCAGAGGAGAAGTTAGAATGGATAAGGCATCGTATTAAAAGCTTTCCTAGGTACAGAAGTCATTACGGAGAGAGGGTTTCAAGTCGATTGTATTTAGAACCTAGATTGACGGTAACAAAGATGTATACCTTATTCAAAAATAAATGTGAGGCTGACGGAAAACTGGTCTTCAAAAAATCTTTGTACGAAAAGATATTTAGAACAGAATTCAACCTGCATTTTTATATCCCCAAAAAGGACACATGCAAATTTTGCGATGCTTTCCAAATTGCTTTAAATTCTGAAAACGACGAGGCAAAATCTCTAGATATTACAAGAAAACAGAAAGAGCACATTGTGATAGCTGCAAACGCTAGAAAAAGCTTAAATGATTTTAAAATAGAATGCTTGCAGCCCGAAAGTACACGTGTATTAGTTACTTTCGATCTAGAACGGACACTTCCATTGCCCCACCTAAATACAGGGGAGGTCTATTATTTAAGGCAACTGCACGTCCTTAACTTTGGAATACATTCCTATCAACATGATGGAGAAAAACTATCTATGAATCTGTGGTACGAAACTAAGAGTACTAGAGGGTCTCAGGAGGTAGTTAGTTGTTTGTACCAGTATTTTACCAACGATATCCCCATGTCTGCTACGAAATTGATTCTGTTCAGTGACTGTTGCAGTGGTCAAAACCGTAACTGGAATATGCTTTATTTTATGATGTACATGGTAAATGTGCTGCCAAATATTCAAGAAATATATGTCAATTATCTCGTTACGGGTCATACATATTTGCCCAACGATTGCGACTTTTCTTTTATCAGTCGAGCTCAAAAGAAACAAAGCAATCTCTACACACCAGAAGAATGGATAGATTTAATTAAAAACTGCAAGAAACATAACCCATTCCAGGTAAATAATATGGTGGGAAAATTTGTGTCCTTTGAACACTTGCACGGAGTGTTCAAAGGATATCAAAGTTTAACTCGATTGGGTGTCATGATATCTAAAATTCGAAAAATAAAATTTACAAAGGGATCGTCAGTTATGGAGTACAACGATGATTATAGTGATATTTACAAGTCAGTCGAACTAAACAAAAGTGGTAATCTGTGTGATTTGTTAGAAACATTGAGAAGTTTCACACCAGAGCCTGCAACGGAAACAAAACTTTTGTCGTTCAATAAAATGAAAGACATTTAAAAAAATGCTTCAATATGTACCACCAATTCATCATCCCTTTTACGTTTCTCTACCCCACCACAACCGAAGAGGTGAAGTTGAAGACACCTTGGACGTACTACCACCATTTCGAGGTGACGAACTAACTGAAGTTTAAAAGAATTTAAAATTCTATATTGGTCTATGTTACAATTTTCATAAAAAAAAAAATTATAATAAAATAAATTTCAAAAAAAAGTGTTGATTTTTATACCCTTTAGCCACAGCATCGTGTAACATGTTACACTAAGTTTTAAATATTAAGTAGAGAGTATAAGCAAACGCGTTTGTCGCTTTTTCTCCCATATTACTTTTTGCTACATAGACCAGTCTAGTTCCAGGCTAGCCATTTGATAGTTAGTCTGACCTAAGAAATTAAACTTTTCTTTTTGGTAGGTTAAATCGGAAATTAAATTTGATTTCATTGATAAATACTTTTGTTTAGTAAGTGCCGCGTTTATAAATAAGTTGGGAATATTTAGAAACGGAGTTTTTGAGGAAACGTTTCCTTCTTTTGATAGTTTGTTTTCTCTTTAAACGATAATTTAAATAATCCTAAATAGCATCCTGCCCTGTCTGAGCGGGCTCGTGATGACCATCAGCTAATTCTTGGATTAGATACCATCCGCGTTAGTAATTTTCTTCCCTCTGTTAATAGTTTTGTTTTCTCTTTCATCGCCAATTTAAATAATTTTAAATAGCATCCTGTCCCTGTCTGAGCGGACTCGAGATGACGATCAGCTCATTCTTGGATTAGGTACTATCCGCTTTAGTTTTTCTTTTTCCCCTTGTATACTCTATTTTTTTCGTGAGAATCGCAAATTTAAGAAATCTTTAATAGCTTCATTACCCTATCTGAGCGGGCTCGTGATGACGATCAGCTCTTTCTGATATAATAGGCTATCCCGGGTATAATTTTTTTTTCTTTCCGAATAGCACACTTTAATTTAATTCCCGCTGCGACAGTTAAATAGTTAATTTTTGTTACGACCGCTCTTAGAAAATTTCCTTACCGAAATGGGAAGTTATGTTTTAGTTTAATTACCGACTAAGTAGTCAAGTTAATTTTTCCTGCGACCGAAACACTCATTTTATTTTAATTCAATTTTGACGTCTGATTGAGACTAGTCGGGATTCAATACCGTCCTTTTCTTGTTTTTTTGTTCAGGGTTATATTGACTATCATCGCAACGAGGATGGGCGTTGAAATATATATATTTTTATTTTCAATTTGTAAATAGTTATTCACATTATATGTGTCATTGTTATATGGCCGTATAACTAAAGAAGTTCTAATACCTTGCTTTACTTCCCCCTTAACTTTCAGCTAGTGAAATATTCTTTACAAGCGCTAGCGACGATTAAAGCCCGTCACTTATGGCTACCGATTACCTGGGTCTACGTAATCTTTGACCCCTGGAATTTTTCATCTCCATCTGTAGCTACCCGAGTACTTTTGACGCCGCTTCGAGAGTTTGTGGAGTAAACCACAATAAATAATCTGGCGCCCGAGAGCCGCCTGTAATCAGCGCCATTCGTAAGGAAACGTTTTCTCTGTAGCGAGAAAACCCCTTACAAATTTAACAACATAGCTTCATTGCCGGGTAATGTAGACTCATCCAACTGGAGAGAGAATCTGTTGGTGTGTAAGAAATTGCATAAAATGTTTTCCACGTCTCGACCAATCTCGTTTATTCATCTCTGAACGGTATTATTGCTCAAATGAATTCTCTTTATAATATCATGTGCGGGCTTGTGCAATACATTATTGAGGACCTTCTTAATGTCTGGTAAAATACGCTGTTTTCCAATTGGGTAGGGTTTCCCCGACTTTACTATTAGTAAAGATATATTATAGGACGCTCATAAACCATCAATGTCTTGCATAGATGATAACGCAAACATAGATCTTATCGGGTTTGTTTTGGTTCAAACAGAACCGTCGATTTCAGTTCTCATATACAGTGGACGAATTCATTTTTCAAGAAAACGTCTCGAGGTTATAACAACTTCTTAGCTGGTTTAGTGTAATTCAGTAAATGTTTTAAAAACCCAGTAATAATAAAATATATACGAATGTTAAGTCGTGATTATTTATGTCAATCCAAATACATAACAGAGACGCGTCGGCAAGTGTTGATTTGATAGAGATAGAATAAATTCAAACTTAAAGTAGTCCAAACTGCATTTTTTTCGTGTCGGTATCGACCACTTTGGGAATCCCTGATCTAAACTATCGTTATAAAAGTTTTGTATTTATTCCTCTACAATTTTGATAACTTACCCTGACATCAGCACAAGCAGTGAACGTTGGTATGAAAACAAGTTTGAGCTCTGTTAATATCTTAAAGAATGTCTTATAGAAATACGCAGGGTATGATTTAAATTCAAAAAAATAATCGCTGACGTTATCACCTTCGCACAAATGACGTCACGAATAAAAGCATTATTTGACAAAATTCGCGTAGTAAAGTGGCAACAAGAGTTCTAAAACAAGCCCCATGTTAAATCCCAAAAGAAATCGCTAAGGTTCATTCTGCTATTTTAACAACGATCTGTTAATGCCATGGCAATTCTTTCGTTCGAAATGACACGCTGAATGCCGTTTGTCCCGTTTGAATCGGACCAGTAGTATGGCTTTTCGTTCTGCGCATGATTTTTCTATTCGACGTTAATCTATATCGCGTTCTCTACGTAATGCCGTTTTTCCCGTTTGAATTGGACCAGTAATGTCCGAGAAACACGCTAAGGCCATTCTGGCATTGCGCATGTTTTTTCTCTTCTACGTTAATATATACCACGTTCTCTACATAATGCCGTTTTTCCCGTTTGAATCGGAACAATAGCAATAAAGATACACGCTAAGGCCCTTCTGGCATGATTTTTCTGTCCGACGTTAAAATAGATTTAGTTTCCCCCACTCTTTCCACTCCCTCGCTTCCCCCACTCCCCCGTTGGTGGCTCGACAAGATAGTTACTGATAAGATTCTCGACGCGTGACGTCACCGTAAAAAAGAGCAGAATAAACTTTAGCAATTTCTTATTGGATTTAACATGGGGCTTGTTTTAGAACTCTTGTTGCCCCTTTACTTCGCGTTTGAAAAAGAAGTCCAGTAAAAATATTGAATTTATTCCTTCTATTTCTTCCTAAAATAAATACTTTTATGTTCAAATTTCTAGAGGGTCCCAGAGGTCAAGATGGACTAGTAATTGGAAAAGATGAGACAGTAAACGGGTACGCAATAGGAGTTGGACAACCAGGTGGTAATGGAGAACAGACAGGTGGTCGAGGAGGTGATGGAGCTGTAGTAAATGGAGGAGGAAGAGTAAACGGAGTATTAATAGGAATTGGTGGAGACGGAGGTTCATCAGGATCAAATAATAAGAACCAAGGGAAACAAGGTAGATATTACTCAAAATATTTTTTCTTGCAGTAAACTTTCATGGCTATCCAAATTTTAAACTAGTAATAAAAATTTCCACCGAGGTTCCTAAACTATTCATAATAATTTGTAGGTGCGGGAAAAGGAAGTAGGCCAGGAGGAATATCGGGGGGCACAAACGGATATTCAGGACAAAGTGGATTCGGACAAGGTGGATTCGATCAAGATGGATACGGACAAGAAGGAACGTTCAACAGTAGAGGACAAAATACAGATTTTACGGGTGGAAGAGGAGGGACTGGACTTGTAATAAGGGGAGGAACAGTAAGCGGAACTGTAGTTGGAGTAGGAGGACAAGGTGGATCATCAGGAGGATATTATCGAAGGAAAAGAGAAACTCACGCAGAAGAAGTGAATCCAACTCTTCTAGAAGGTAAGCTTTAACTTTTATATACTCCACTGGATGGAGATTTATGTTTTTACCTACGACGCACTTTTAAGTAGCAAATCTACTTAAAAACTGATATTATTTATAATTATCATAGCTACCGGAAAAGTATGGAACAAATTCATTAAATATTTCGCACTTTTTCCGAAAAATCCTTATATAGGTCGATTTTGTTTTTCAGTTTCGCACATTTTGACGTAAAATTTGCATTGTTTAGAACAGTGGTCGCCAACCTCTCAATGTGTTGAGCTACTTTGTTAATTTTGGAATAAACAGCGAGCTACCCACACGGAAGCCACGTAACGCAACGTAAATGAAATAATTCACAGTAAATTTATCATTATATGTATTTATTTTACTATTTAACTGATAATACATAATACATAGGTACTAATAATAAACTAATAACAAAATAACTAATATTACTAGTACGTACTTCTTCATAGCTACATTCCTACTTACCAAACGAAGGTGTTTGAAAAATAAACACAAACTTTTATCCAGCCACAACGGCATGTCACGTAAGATTTAAAAATAGTTAATAATAACAACAAAAAAGTAACGCACTATCATGAACATAAACATTGAAAAATAAAAAAGCACGTTCAATGAGAAGGCTGAAACTCAGACCCATCGATCATTTTTTTAATGTTTGCAGTATAATTTGATACAGCCATTCGAATACAATTATCCAAATGTTCATCTGTAAGTCGATTGCGATATTTGTTCTTAATTAACTTCATATTGGAAAAAGAAGATTCACACAAATAGGTTGAACTGAATAATGCTTTCACTTTCAAGGCAACACGGCATAGAACTGAATATTTGTCTTTACTTACAATAGGCCAGATACATTTGGTACTTGAGACTAACGATTTTAAGGCTAAATCATTTTGAAACTCAATTACTTTCATTTCTGTTGCAGCGATGTCTTCGCCAAAGTTCTGCATAACACAAGTTGCAAACTGTTGGATATCAATTTCCATAAAGGGTGAAACAACAAACTGCGCTACTAAAGCCATTTCGTTGAAATCCTTAAAACGATTTTTGAAGTTATTCTTCAGGGTAGAAACTATTTCTACATGATATTTGCTGTCATAGGGTTCTAATGGATTTTGAGATATTTTTTCTGAAAGAATAGGAAAATGCTTGGCATCGCTGTTAATTAGGTTTTATTCCCAAAACTCCAGCTTTTTGATAAATGCTTTTATATCAGAAATCATTTCCGCTAGCCTCGCCAGATAGGATCATTAAAACGTTTCAGCACCCGTCCTCTACTTAACCATTGGACTTCAGAGTGAAGGAGTAGGTCCCCGTATTGACAGTCAACTTCATCGGCCAAGGTTTCGAATAGTCTTCTTTGTAACGCTTGAGCTCTAATCTTGTTCACAATTTTTACCACCAGTTTCATAACGTTGTTTACTTTCAGGAAATTTCCACATAATGCTTGCTGATGGATAATGCAGTGGTAACAGAGAAATTGCGGAAAAGTTTCATCTTTACGACATAACGCCACCAGACCCTTATCACAACCCACCATAGCTGGAGCGCCATCGGTTGTCAAGCCTACCAATTTCGATATTGGAATTTTCTCGGAAGAAATAATATTTTTTAAATGAGAAAACAACTCCTGTCCAGTAGTGTGTCCTTTCAGTGGAATAAACTTCAAAAGATCTTCTTTAATCGTAAAATCACTAAAAAACCATCCTGACGAAAACGGCCATCTGGGCAGTGTCAACGACATCTGTTGATTCATCCAGTTGAAGTGAATAATAAACACAATTACCTAAGTCAGTTCTTAACTGTAAAAAAAATATCATTGCTCATTACTTCTACACGTCTCATCACTGTATTAGCAGAAAGTTGCATAGATTTTATAGCTGAAACTATTTCGTCTTTATTTCTAAAGTTGGCAAATAACGAATCAGCAGCTTCTAAAAACGCCTGTTTTATCATTTCCCCGTCTTCATATGGTTTCTTTTTTTTTGTGCAATTATCTGGGACACACGGTACGATGCTTCAGTTGCAGCCTTATTTTTGTCGACTGTTGTTGTCCAATTAACTGCTTTTTTAACTGTTACAGTTTCTCCTTTCTGGCGGCAGAATGTAGTGGAAATGATTTTTCAAAATTAGAATGTACAATTTTATGATCTCTCAATATTTCCTTTTTTAGCAACGGAGACCGAAGTATTACATAACAAACACACATTTTTATCTTAAACTTCTGTAAAAAAGTATTGTTCTTCCCATTCCGAATGAAAGTGGTATGTCTTTACCTTCTTACAACTGCTTGCCATAATATTATTTTTTGTTGTTCTCTACTAACCCAACCGCTGGACGTTTGTTACGCGTTCAGTTTTAAACTAAGCGCAATGTCGCCGCGCCGTGCGTATTTATCCCGTTCAAAGCAATCCTGATCGTTCTCGAACACTAACGCGCTGGTCCGGCTGGTCGGTTCTAGCTTGATGGCATCAGCGGCAGATCGCTCCCCGCAACGTTGCCGCTGTTTATGTTTAATATTATGATAATTAGATTTTTTTGTGGAATTTTCGGAAGCTTGCAGTTTGTATTTATTAAATTAAAAGAGTTGTGAGAGCTACCAGAATTGCCTCAGCGAGCTACCGGTAGCTCGCGATTGACAGGTTGGCGACCACTGCTCTAAAGCATTATACAAACATTTTGTGTGTTGAAATCAATCAGCTTACTAAAATACAGAAAATATACTACTGAAGATTTAAATATAATGTAAAAAAAGCCTTTTTATCTACAACTTAAACTAGGTACAAAAACGAAAGAAAAACAGAATTTATTCAGATTCCAAAAACTACAGGTAAACAGAGAATAATAAAATATGAATTTAAAAAAATAAAGTTAGCAACATAAAAGAGTACCAAAATATGTCATACGACCTCGAGTAGGTTTAGCTTTCGCTATCAGAGCTTGAGGCGTATCAGAATGATGTGGCTCTGGTAACTTGGGATCACAAAGCAACTTCCTAATTTCTACATTCAAAGTCTCCGATCTACGCTGCTGAATTGACGTTGTTCTGGAAATAGAAGAAATAACGGGATCTGAGGCATAAAGCAAGGTATTAAATAAGTCACACATGGTATTTTTGCGGGTGTAAAATTCTCTGTAGTTTCGAAAATCTTTATTTCTACATTCTATTACCACAGCTTATACAATACAGCTCCACAACTCCGTGTCGGCGTCTTTGATCTGGCGGTCGAGAACCAAGCAAGACGGAATGGTGCTATCTATGTTAGATTAAAGGGAAAAGTCGGGCCCGGATTAAGCAATTTTTTTATTATTGAAAAAATTGAAAACCTTGACGTAATAAGGTTGGTTACATGCCATGTTAAGTAAGTTTTGGGAAATTAAATTTTTAATTTGTTTTAAATCTGTCAAATATAATTAAAAAAATTATTTAAATATAAATATTACGAAAAATAGCACATCTTTCGGATTAGAGGTAAAATAATTTGTATGTGGCTAGTAAAATCCTCGTTAACAAATGTTTTGAGCTAAAACAGTCACTTCACGACAAATTGTGACTTGGATCCTTTTTACACCAAGGGCTTCAATTGTTAAAGAAATGTGTCACGCTCGTGGATGCAAATCAAGTGGTACCCCGTGTCTCTGGCAAGTGTTACTCTTCGCGCAAAGGGTTTATACCTAGATAAACGAATGCTTCGACTAAGGTCTGGGAACTCTATGGTATTTTGGAATTATAAAGAATTTGTGCTTTTATTTTAACAATATTGGTTATATTTAGATGTATTCTTATTAATTGAAATACAGATTTGTAGAAGTAATACTTTAACAGTTTTTATTAATATAATATATTCAATTTTTATCTGACCATACCGAAGTAGGGAATTTTGAAACTTTATAGTAATGTGAAATTTGAATTAGAATATTACACGATATTACATAATTAGTACTTATTTTAGGTAGGTACTAAATTTGTACTTGGAGAAAGTAATATCGATTTTTACAAGAAAACTTGAAAAGTAAATTAATTTAGTTCTTATTTCTGATGTAAAACTTAAACCAAGAAAACAAATAAATTGTAGTTTGTTCAACAAGGGTGGATATGATAGCCATATCACACAAAGACGAAGTTTGAGCACGACGTCGTAGGCGGAGTACTCAATCGTCTGATTGTGATATGAACAATCCACTCGATATGGTCAGTATATTTTTTCTACGACCCACTAACGAAAATCTACAAATTTAAAAAATTATTTTAGGTTATTTAGACAAAATAACTAATTTTAAAATAATTTACGAAGTTGACTAATTTATAAAATAAAATAAACATGAAAAATTAATTAGTCCTCGGCCTAGATTCGATCCCGGGCTTTTCGCATGGAAGGCAGATGTTCTGTCCTCATCTTCACCGAAACTTTCAGGACTTTAGTTTTAATACTCGTAATTAAATTAGTATCATGTAGTTTGATTAAAATTTATTTTTTTTTAAATGTGGACATAATAAAAACAAAAATGCTATTATTTATCGAGTCTACACAAAAATTTTAATGTATATTTAATATCAATAACTAAAATATGTATTGACAATTAGTTTAACAGAATTATCACTTATTTAAAAATTTTTAAATAATAGGAGTTGGGTGACCAAAATATGAACTGTGATTTGTAGATTTAATTTTGTTAAAGTGTTCTCACTACCTAAAATAGATATGAAATATATTCGTAGTTGAACGCAATAACATAATTTTTCGTTTTGTAGTATGTGCGTAGATTGGCTAATATCCATGCACAGATTACAAAACGAAAAAGTATGCTATTGCCTTCAATTGAACGAATATATTTCATATCCATTCTAGGTAGTGAGAACACTGCAAAAAAAAATAAATTCGCCAATCACCGTTCATATTTTGATCAACCGACTGCTATTATTTTTAAAATTTTAAATAAATGACAATTCTGTCAAACTAATTGTCAGTATATTTTTTAGTTATTGAGATTAAACATACAATAAAATAAGTTATTCTTTTGGAAAACGTTAGCATGGATGACTAAAGGGTATTGGGTTAATTAATTCTAAAAGTGTGGTACAAATGTTATTTTTTGTAGCCAATTCTTCAAAATTATTTTAAAATATCTTTTCAATATTGAATATTAGTTCTACAAATTCATCATTTGACAGTTGCAGATTTCCAAATGTATCTGAATTGGCGTTATCATATGCCTTTTAAATGCAATAAAAAGAAAAATCGTCTAATTCAACGTGATCTTTGTTATATTTAAGACAGGTATCACAGGAGTGGATCCGCAAGGCTTTTATTAAAAGGTAACCACACACACATACCTGATAAAATTTTTCTGTAGCAATTCGTCTTTACAATAATTTAGGGTGTTAATAATTTCATCATAAAATAAAATACAAGGTGTTCCATTTAAAAAACATACATTTTAATTTTCCAGGCAAAAACGTGACACCCTGTATATCCAAAGATATTTTTAAAATATGTAGGTATTTTTCAAATCCATATAACTTTTATTTAAAACTTTCTTGCGTGTCTACAACAAAATAATGAACAATAACGCACTAATGAGACACCCTGTATAAATTATATTTTTAACAATGAAAATTTCTTATAATGTAGTACTTATCGGTTTGGGTCCTTGGAAAACTAAAGAATGTTTTCTTGCAGGTATAACCCTTATTAAAACAGCTTTTGACTGCACAAACTCATTCTACTCACAGCTAAAGAGTCACCAAAATAATAACAGTACCTTTAACTCAAACAAAATCAACGAAATTATAGGCTCCACGAAATTATACAATCAACGAAATTATACGCACGACTCAACACCTTGCCTAAGTACGCTTCTGAACGCCAAAACCGTCTTTTCCCTTCGAAGGCGGAGCTTAAGCGATGCGCGACGAAATCGACGCAAACCGTTGCCGCCAAGAGAGTGTTTTAGCTATATTGTATAAGCTGTGCTATTACTTCTTCTGATAGCATGCCAATAGGCAACACAGCAGCTTTTATTATGTTGCCACAAAATTTTGTGGACGCTAGACGGCATGTAGTTTCACGAATATTGGTCTATGTACTGTTATGATTTTTACTGTCACTTCATAACCTCACAATCAAAAATATATACACATTAACTTGACTTACCTTGGCTAGCTTTTTTTTTAATATATATTTTAGCACTTTTGTAGAGCAGATATATAAATGAACAAAAAATGAGTATCAATAATTAAAATATATGTACATTGCAAGTCCACTTTCATAACATAATTAATGTTATTAATTTTTAGGAGAAAAAGGAGAGGCTTTATCTAAGAGTCAAGAAGACCAAGTTAGAACAAAAAGACAATCGCGAATAAAAAGTATAACCACTTCACAACATCTTTTCGTAAAAGTTATTAAAGACGGCAAGACGTACGACTTAGCCTGGCATCAGGGAAATCATGATCCATGGAATGGACAAGGAGGAACGTCAATAGGAGGAACGGGTGGAACTGGAATATCGTTAATCGACAATCCGGAGTTAGAAGGAATTCTAGTAGGATTTGGAGGTCAAGGGGGACATACATATATCAAACGTAACAAACGAGAAGTGGAAGAGAAAAATCAAATTATTTTGCAAGGTGTGTAGATGCTAATTTTATTGACGTTTAAATTCTAACTGAAACATGTTTTTTCATCTATTTAATTTTTTTTGCAGAAAAAGAAGTTGCGAAGATGCAGCTAGATGGAGACAGAATAAAAAGACAAGCAACTATAAATGGTATAACGTATCCAGGACCCATATTAGTAGGGGGAAGAGGAGGAGATGGTCTCATAATAAGTGGAGGAGTGATACAAGGATTTGTCGTTGGATACGGGGGACAAGGAGGAAGTCCAAATCAGGGTCGTAAAAGACGTAAAGTACAAGAATACATCCAACAAAGCTTTCCAGACGTGTAAAGAACAAAATCAACTAATTTTTTCTTCGAATATCTCAAAACTGACAATTAATGTATGTATTAAGTAACAAAATTTTTAAGTATTTTTAAATAAGATGTTTTTAATTAAATAAAAAAATACAAACCGTCCTTTTACTATTTTTCTTCTTTTGTCTCACAATTTTAGATTTAAAAAGAACCTACTTATTTTTGCGTCAACTCTAAAATTGATTTCAAACATTTTCAATTATTGCCACAATTTATAGTTATTAGAACCGGTAAAAACACATTCAGTTAAAGATATATTATTAGGATGTTTAAATGATTTAAGAATTCATTATTAAATTATTTGAGAAACCACACTAATTTTCAAAACATATAATGGAAAAAATGGGAGGAGGAATATAAAGTGTTATGTCAATTTAAAAGGAAACTATATGGAGATGTGACTCAACTTCCATTAAAGAGACCGTGGTTTAAAAAAATAAAAAAATTAAATAGAAGGGATATTAGTACCATTTGCAGATTACGAAGAGGTCATTCTGTAAATAACCCTCAAGAAATAGTTAATATGTTTGCCGAATTCTTTCAGTCAGTTTATACCACCCCATCAAATAGTAAAAATATATCTCCTGCCAATAGGGATGAACTACTCGATATTTCAATTTTTACATTATCAGAGGAAGACATATCTAAATCTCTTAAAAAACTAAAACCACGAATGAATCAAGGACCAGATCAAGTACCTAGCTTCATCATTAGAGACTGTTCTGAGGTATTAAAAAAACCCCTATCATACATCTTTAACTTATCTCTAAAACATTGCTCTTACCCTACTAGGTGGAAAATCTCTAAGGTCACACCAATCTTTAAAAAGGAAAATCCAAATCTTGTTGATAATTACAGGCCAATCTGTCAAGTGTCAGGATTTTCGAAAGTCTTTGAGATGTCTGTATATGATAAGATTTTTCCACAAGTAAAATTTTCAATTAATCCTTCCCAACATGGTTTCTTTAGTTCGCGCAGTACCATCACTAATCTAACTTGCTTCACTAATTTTACTACTTCTGCATTAGACCATCATCAGCAAGTGGATACAGTTTACACAGATTTCTCAAAGGCTTTTGACCGCCTAGACCACTTAATATTGGCAAAAAAAATATTAAATCTAGGGTTTGACAGACAACTCGTTGATTTTATTTCTTCATACCTCAAGGGAAGACTGCAATACGTTGAGTTGAATGGCTTTAAATCTTTTTTATTCGAAGCTACAAGTGGGGCTCCACAGGGAAGTAATCTTGCTCCCCTGCTATTTTCGCTATTTATCAACGATATTGTTTCTGTTCTCAAATGTAATACACTTTTATTTGCCGATGATCTAAAGATATTTACTTGCAATGACGATTGCCATCAGATGCAAGATGATTTATTTGCCCTTGATCAATGGTGCAATGAAAACAGACTATCTCTTAATGTAAAAAAATGTAAGGTTGTGTCATACTCCTTAAAGCATGATTTTTTTATCTATAACTATCAAATTCAATCTATGTCACTTGCTCGCGTCTCAAATTTCAAAGATCTAGGGATTACATTTGATTCCAAAATGTCATTCAACTCACATATTGCAGCCATTTCTGCTTCTGCCACAAAACTATTGGGATTCATATATCGCTCCTGCAATAAGTTTAAAAATGCTTCTACAACTAAACTACTATACTTCCATTACATAAGAAGCAAATTAGAGTATGGATGCCTAATCTGGAATCCTTATTATGAGGCTCATATTCAACATTTAGAAAAAGTTCAGCGTAAATTTGTCAAATATATGGCTTTTAAAATGGATGGAGTGTATCCTACCCGTGGATTCGATCACACTCGGTTACTTCTAAGGTTCAACTTGCAAGGATAGACGAGTTTATATATCTCTAATTTTTTTGTACAAGTTGGTTAATTGTATGATTGATTGTTCTAATTTATTATACCAACTAAATTTTTATGTTCCCTTAAATACCAGATCCAAAAATCTGTTCTACCTACCCTCAGTAAGTATTAATATCATGCTAAAATCGCCTTTACATATCATGTGCAGGGAACTAAACAAGATTAGTCCACATATTGATATATTCAATCAAACTTTATGTAGTTTTAGTAAGTCAGTGAAAAATATCTTATTTAATCAATAATAAACTTGGCGGGCTGTATCCTGTATCCTATCAAATGGTCATTTATTTGTAAACTAATATTTTTTTTAATTACTTTGTATATTTTCTTACTATTCTTATCTGAATTGTCTTATTAATGGATGTAATTCTGTTAGACAATAAAGCTTATTATTATTATTGTTTGAGTAAGGTACATCTCAAGAAAATAGGAATAAAGGAAAATAATAATAATAATATTTCAAGAAATAACACAAGTTACAAGGTAAGGTAACAGAACAACAATTTCAAATAAATAAATATTGATACTCAATAAGTGCCAATAAGGCACTTGTTTTGAGAACAAATATAAATATAAAAAATAAACAAATTTATACATATAAAATAAAATTAATGCATTACAGTAAAAAAAAAATATATATATACATTTTAGATAATAATATTTTATATAGGAGACAAACACAATCAAAATACCTACACTTAATTAAAAAGATATCGAAACTTTGACCATACAAAACGCAAATAAATATCAGTTAATTAAAAGAATATTATTTATTACCTCCATTTTCTCGTTTTTGATAAATTTTTTTAAATTATTTTTAAATATGGACAAGGCATTACATTTTATTTCGACTGGAAGAGTATTATATAATTTTGGACCTAGATACAAATACGATCGTTGTCCTACTGATTTTTGAGTACGAGGCACAGTATGGAGATGTTTTTTTCTTGTGCTATATGGATGATCTGGTAAGTTGAATAGTTGTTTATTTGTATGAAATTTAATATTAATATTATAATAAAAAAATTGTTTTAGATTCATAACATTTGCCTCAACAAACAATGAGTTAGAAGGATACCTGTAGGGCCTTTTGAGCATTATTTTTAAAAATCTTTTTTGCAGAACTTCAAGTGGTTGTAAATGTGTTTGTAAAGTACAACCCCACACAATGATGGCATATCTCAAATGACTTTCTACTAAGCTATGGTACAATATTTTAAGTTGATGTGGTTGTAGATAATCTCTTATATTTTTAAATTTATATATTATCATTCTTAATTTTTGGCATGTAAAAGTTATGTTTTCTTTCCATTTGAGATATGAATCCATGTAAACCCCTAGATATTTTATCTTGTTTTCAGGGAGAATGGTAAGTGTTTGCCCAGAAGCAGTAAAAGTTACTTTGTCAAATGAAGGTCTTGTTATAATATTATTACTGAATGGTAAGTAGTGGGTTTTATCTACATTTAATGTCAGTAACTTACTGTCAAACCAGTTTTTCAGATTTGGAAGGTCCTGTTCAACTTTTTGCTTTAGTTCTAGCCATGAATTAGCTTTATAAAATATTGAGGTGTCGTCTGCGAATCCCAAAACTTCCCCTGAACTCTCGATAGAAAACAATCCGTTGATGTAAAGATTAAATAGAATAGGACCGAGTACCGTACCTTGTGGGATACCGTAAGATGATAGGTATACGTGAGGAGAAAGGGAAAACTAACAACATATATTTTTTAATTGTCACAATTTTTATAATATTGTTACGCTGCATCCTGCAGTAGCCTGCGGCTATTATAGGAAACGTACAGATAGAAAAAGAAGTGGAATGTTACTCATCACCCTATAGTGTGCTGCGGTCGTCATAAGTAAAAGTACAAGTAAAAGAAGAAAGAATAGTCCAGAAATGTCACTACCCGTCAAGAATATTCTAGACGTCAGTTCGCGAAGGTTCGAGAAGGGTCAAGCAAGCTATATAAGGAGGATCCTGACGTCTATTTTCAGTTTTATGATAGACGTTACATGTTATTGTTATCAGTTGCATTGTTATTGTAAAGTTGAGTTGAAATAAATTGCGATACCAAAAACCAGTGTAACAATATTTATACATTTTTAGAGAGTTTAGATATCCCAAAAAATTTTATAGTTCCTGTTACACTTTTTGATATATTTTTTAGCTTCTGCCCTTCAGTAATGTTAAAAAAAATATCAAAATTTATGCATATATCTAAAATTAGGCTATAAAAAATTGTAATTCTTTACCTGTTGTTACCAAATGACTGTATCATCCTAGGTATGTTGGCCAATAAATTAAAAAAAAAAGCAATCCTTTTAATCGTTATATGTAATACGGACTATAAACTAACGCAGGCAAATCATCAAAGGCATTTATTTGTAATTAAAAGAACAAAAAAAATACTTAAATACTTCATAACGAAAATGTATTGCTTATCGGGTTTTCAATCTGGACCTTCGGTATCTAATCCCTTGAAACGGTAAATTCGGCATCATTTAACAACCACGCCTAAGCTCATTATATTCTGTATCGTATTACAAGATAGCGGATAGCGTCTATAAATCCCTACATTTCTGTAATTTGTTTTAAAAAGTCACAATTTTGCATTCTTGTCCCCCCTGGAAAAAGTTCTAGTGCGCCCATGGGTTTGCACCATCCTTTGGATTGACTTTTGGTCTCAGGATTGAAATAAAGAATCCACGTTTCGTCAGTGGTTATTATTCGTTGCTAAAATTCATCACGGTAACGGGCTAACAATTCTTGAAGTTAACAAGAATCAGACCTATTGAGTTTCTGTTCTGGTCCCAACAGCCTTGGCTCCCAGCGCGCCGAAACCTTGCTAACGCCCAATCATGTAAGTTATGACCTTGTCGTGTACCTGTCCCTAGGTGTACACTAATTTGAAGAATAGTCATTCGCCTGTCCTCTTTCAGTAGGTCTTCGACGGCAGTAATTTACCGACGTGCCTGGTCGCCCACTGCGTGGATCTTCTTCCACTGATGTTCTACCGATTTTAAAACGATCGATCTACCGATAAACAGTACTTACCCAGACAACACACCAAATCCCAGAGATATCCACAAAATATCTTTTGTGGATATCCAATAT